AAAGGAAACAACTTAAGAATATAGTAGTAGCGAATCTTTTCCTCGTGAGCAAATAGGGTGGCAATGTCATGCAATTTAGTAAGGTGTGCCACAATAGTTTCAGTTTTATAACCATGAAAATGATTGAATTCCACCAAAGTAATTAATTCAGGGTCCATGGGGAATTCATAATCCTTATCGGTAACAAAGATAGGAGAAGTAGCAAATTTAGGATTGTATTTCATTTTCTATATCATAGCTTTTTTTCTTTCAGCTTACTCGGCAATTTCTTAATGTCATCTCTATCACTACAAGCAAGAAATTCTCTAGTTATCTCCCTATCCATAACATAACCCTCGAGTATCTTAGGCATTTCAATTAACTCTAGTAGGAGAGCTAGGCATAATAGGTGAATCATAATTTTCATTAGTTTCAGCATTCTCAAGTTCTTTAGCTTTTGCAAGTTGTTCATCAAGAAATTCATCTAGTGGCACAGTTTTATCAAGTAGAATACTAGCATCATCATATGTTTCATTTATAGAAGAAGTAGCATCATGAATTACTTGCGACATATTAGATTGAATAACAGGTGGTGGTGTCACAAGCCTACTTAAAATAGAAGGTGGATCAAGTGTAGAGTGTGATTGGAATTCCTTACCTCCCCTCATCTTAGAGGGTACGATTTTGGTCTTAGCGCCTTTCAGATTCTTAATAGTGATCAACAGATATAATTCCCAAGTGACTCAACAAATAGAGCTATGCTCCCGGCAACGGCGCTACAAAAAGGACTTGATAACCCACAAGTATAGGGGATCGTGACAGTCTTTGAGGGTAGTATTTCACCCAAATTTGTTGATTTGACATAAGGGGAGCCAAAGAATATTTATGAGCCTTAGCAGTTGAGTTGTCAATTCAACCACACCTGGGAAATTATATTTCTGCAGCAAATTCTTTAGTAGCATAGTAATTTGATAGTTTTGATAGTAGCAGTAACAGGAACAGTAATAGAAGCAGTTTGTGATGATTGTAACAGCAGCAGCAATAGTAACTTAGCACAGATCAATATGAGAAAACGTAGGAATTGGGTCAGTGATGGATATTTGTCTTGGATGATATTCATCATATAACAGTCACAACCTAGAGCGATACACAATAGCTCCAGTTCATCAATTCAATGTAGGCATGTATTCTGTATATAGTCATACGTGCTTATAATAAGAACTTGCATGACATCTTTTATCCAACCCTCTTGTGACAGGGGGTCCACAAGGAAACTAAGGGATATCAAGGCCTACTTTTAATAGAGAACCGAAACAAAGCATTAACACATGGTGAATACATGAACTCCTCGAATTACAGTCATCCCCGGAGAGTATCCCAATTATTGTCGTGGCCGAAGAATTAGAAGGGGGATATTAGAACCACACTGAGCTTCTAATTATCAGGATTAGAGAGGATCTAGATCTAGCTCAAATTGGGTCAACTAGAACTAGAACTAAAACTAGAGAACTAGAGAAGGCTCCAAAAACTTGTATATCCAAAGGTCAAAATCCTCTAGTATATACAGGTTGGAGGGAGGGGAGGGGGCACCACAAGGGAGGAAGGTTTCCCTTCCCCCTTGCACCGGCCAAGGAGGGGGAACTCCGTCCAATTTAGCCTCGTCCCTTCCTTCTCCATGAAGAAAGGGGCTCCTCCCTATTGGGCCCAATACTCTTTCCACCTCTTGGCCTTTTAAGGCCCGTTGATATTTAATTACATGTAAAAGCCTCCTAACTATTATTAGAGCTTTTTATTATTAATTTAACATCTCCAAAAACATTTTCCACCTGTATATTATTTATCGATAATACCCGGTATTACCCGATAAAGCCCAAAACTCTTCCAGTGACCGCGAAACGCTTCTGGTTCCTCTCGAAACTATTTCGAATATTAATGACACTATTTCATAAATATTTCCTCATTACTCATATCTCAGCAGATCATGATTACCTTAAGCTTGTGACCCTATAGGTTCGGTAAAACATAGACATGAACAAAACCCCTTTCGTTCAATGACCGATAGCGGAACCGTGGACGTCCATCGATCGCTATGAGTACACGAATGATATTCGAGTGAACTTTGGTTATCATGTGTGTATTCCCTTTGCTTTGTGATAATTTACAAAACCCGAGGTGAGATATATCAGTATCCCCTTGAGTCATTCGCATGCTCATTATACTGGTCTCCTCGTTACCGGTTTCGTTCTTCTTTATCGTTGAAATGTTCCGGCATCCCCGTGACCTAGTTGCCTGTGTCAGGATAGACGATGACGGATGTCGTCACACCGAGCAGGCCCCAAAAATATCTCTCCATCATCGGAGGAGCAAATCCCACTCTTGAGCTATCTAGCCCCTTGTCAAACTTTTCGATGAACCTATCAGTTGTCATTATGATCACTGTATTACAGATGATGTTTGGGCAACCCCAAAGTTCATCGTATAGTAAGAAGTGAGTACGATACTCTCATGGTCTAAGAAACTAAAGCATATGTTAACTTGTGACGAAAGCATCTCAAAGTATAACAATCGAGTTTGGGGCAATTCAATATGATCATTCTTCTAACTTCATATTCTCAAAGTTGTTTTGGGGCTATCGTTACACTTAAGATATCTCAATATCTAGAAAACATGATCACAAATAACCCTTGAGCTAGTCTTAGAGGAGAGACTAGGAATCAGATTTTACTGTTTATCATTCCACACATGCATATGAGTTTTCCACTTAATTGCATATTCCAGGATCACAACAGCTATAGCATAGAATATAAACTCTTAATTATAAACATGGAAATATAATAATACAATATTGTTGCCTCTAGGGCATATTTTCAATAGTTCGTCACTGGGACAACTACTAAACTATCTTTTTATCCTTAGTGGTAGTCACGGGAGAATGGAGGCGCGAGAGGTGCTTGAAACAGAGCCCCGCGTCTTCCTTCCGAAGACGAGGAGGCTCTCTAAGGCCTAGCTGGCAGCACAGCCAGTCGAACCCTCATCCTTTCAGCATGAATGTGTGTCCAGCCATCTGCGGTGACTCAAGCCCATGGTATCCCATCCCTTCTCGTGCAGGGCACAACATGAGTAGAGCTCCCCTATTCAATGTTGCAGGTGACATCAATGGTGGCAAATGGGGTGGCGATGTCTGAGGAGAGGCGGGTTGGCTTTAAGCAGTGGTTGGGGGTCATGAATGCGGAGGCAAGCGAGTCAGCAACCTCGGTTTCAAGGGACGGCGCAGGGATGTACGGCGACAAAGTAGATGATGTGGCTTGGGTCTGGATCTGGCTTCCAGGCTCATGCAGAACTGTCACATTGATGAGGCTCGAAGAGGCAATAACATCGCGCTACGGAGTGAGAGGAACCAAGGGTGCGTGGGGATAGGATGGTTGGCTAAAATGGTAGAGAAGGCAGATGACGTGGTGGAGGGAGAGGTTGCAGCGGTGGTGGGAGCTGGGGCGGGCGTCGCGAGAGTCATACTTGTCTCACATGCATTGGTCTTGATCTATCTTTAGGACATGTTATCTCCATGTCAGCACCCAGTCACCGTAAACCAGCCAGGGACGGTTTTTGGCTAGTATTGGATTGTTTAGGGGGGGTAAGGGATAGTAAAATGGACTTTTTCTACCTCTAATTTATCGGGTATTGTTTATTCTAATATATGGAGCACAAAGAGTGGTGGCGTGTCACTATTGTCGGCCCACTGGGCCACAAGCCGGCAGACCAAGAGTGCACCGTTGACTTTGCGCACAAAACTAAGAATCCCACTCAGATTAGGCTATATCAGATTCCATTTTATACGCCTACAAGTTTCTGGTAATACTACCTTTCAGATGTAGTTTTATATTATTTTTTTGGCAAAGATATAGTTTTAGGGCATCTTCAAAGCGGACCCTCAAACCTCCACTATATATCTAGACCGCAGTGTCCGGACCACTTTTAACATTCAACGAGGGCCCATATATGTTCGTTTAGCAGTTCGGACGTAAGGATTCTGGTATCCTAGCAACAAACGTGAGGGGCTTTGCGGGAGTCCGAACATGCACTTGACCAACACAAAGCCTCCCGCGTAGTCCTTGTCTCTTTTCTCTCTTCACATGCATGCTCCCCTCTCATCTCTCTTTCCTCTCATCTGGACACCACACCATAATATCTCACTACATCCATGGCCCCTATCTACTCTTTATCCCCCAACCGGACTATTTCATGAATAGCCTTCAATGGCGCTCTCCCGTATCATGTATGTGGACCACGTCCGAACATAGAAACAGACATTTGCCATGCTCATTTGCGGGTCAGCAATGTAAATGCCCTTATATGTTTGCCCTCACATCTCGGCCAGTTTGGATTTGAAGCCATTGTGCATAACAGGGTCATCTAGTCGGCATAAGAAGAAAGAAGTTTTGAAGGCTTGTGGAGCACATCAGCGGTGGTCCATGAAGTTTTGGTTTGACTACAACGACAAAGTGGCAACTGCTTCCAACCTTCCCGTGGAATTTGTTTAAGTTGGTCACTTGGTATCACCTACACTGTCGAGTGCTAACTGGTCCCCGTCTTAGAAGAAAATTAAAAAACCAACAGGTCGGTAGCTCAAACCAGTCTCCGCCGTCGACCACAGTGAACCCCCGCGTTCAACGTCCGAGATTTATCGCCCTTCGAGGCTTCGACCGTAGCAAGTCTGTTGGCAGTAGAATTAAGTGACGTGCTGATCTGATCAGCCGCAATATACAAATCGCCACGCCGTGTTTGCTGGTCACTTGGATGCTTTGGCACGAATCCACGGTAAAAAAAAATAGGATGGACTACGGAGGTGGGGCACGCGTAGTTGCCATGAAACTCGACTGGCTGGAATCTTTGGCCGTACGGCATACATTACTGCCACTGCTGCAATATATAAGGCGAGCAAACGCGCGCTGCTCACCCATAAACCGCTCCTGGTCCATTGCTTAACACACAGTACTCAGCTGAGAATCGAGTCCGGCGACAATATGAGGGTACGGGTTCTGTTTACTTGCAATATCTTTCGAAATTTTGTGTGGATTCTGCTTCATTGGTCTATTTTTGATCGATTTCTGCTTGGTGTTGTTGCAGACGGAGATGGTGATCAGGATGCAGGCGAGCTCCGACAAGGGCCAGCACTCCAAGGCCATGAAGATCGCGGCGGCAATCGACGGTACGCAGCAACCTATACAAATTCCTCTGTTCTTGACGAGACTCCTCTGCAATTGCTCAATGCGTCTGAGTTCTGACATATGTGGCGGATTCGACCAGGAGTGGAGTCGGTGACGCTGGCGGGGGAGGGGCGGAACCTGCTGCGGGTGGTCGGCGAGGGCGTCGACTCCAACCACCTCACCAGCAGGCTGCGGCGGAAGGTGGGCCACGCCGACATCGTCGAGCTGCGCACCCTGCAGGCGGGCCGCGGCTACGCGAGCGCCACCAACGCTGCCGCCGGAGCCGGCTACCACTCTTCGCAGGCCGCGGGCGCGGGCGAACGCGGGGACGCTGCCGCCTATGGGGGGTACAACAGTTACACTACGGCCGGCTACTTGCCGGTGGCCGCCGATCAGTACCACCGCCAGCAGCAGCAGCCGTCGTACGAGTACGAGTACTACCCGCCGGCGCCGTACCCTGCCACCGTCGTCCACCACGAGTACACGACCGGCGATCCGACCGGCTGCTCCATCATGTAGCGCCACCAGTGGTAGCTCTCGGTTCGGCGATTCTGTTTTTTTTTTTGTCACTGCGTTCATTTTTCTTTGTTTTTCTTTTGTTGGGGAGTGCACTGTATCGTGTGTTCGTGTGTGTAGTGCGATCCATCGGGGCCAATTTTTGCCGGCCCTCGTTGGATCTGTAATTTCTTAGTCAAATGGGTGCCTGGACGATGTCAAAGCGAGACGTGGAGTGCGAATTGTTTTTTTTTTAAATGAAGGCAAAAGCTTTGCCTCATGCATTAATTAAGAAGAGAATAGAGTTTTTTCTTTACAACACACACCCTTTACGCGACATGGCAATTACTCTCGCAAAATAAAAGACCTTAACTTCTTTGCCCCGGCGGTGACCCAAAGGCTTGCTTCGGCCACAATGGAGTTAAGCAGAATTGATGGAGGAGCGCTCTTGTGCCGAAATACTCTTGCGTTTCTCTCATTCCAGATTACCCATGACACGAGCATGGTAATCGACGCCTTGGCCTTCCTGTCCGTAGTGCCGACGTCGCATGTACTCACCCACCAGCTCTCAACTGAGTCCATCAAGTGCCATGAGGTCGTGCTCATGTCATCAATGCCAAATCTCTGAATGACCAACCTCCAGAGCCTCAGAGAGTAGCGGCACTTGAAGAGGAGATGTGGCCCACATTCCTGCACGCCCTTGCACAATGGACAAGGACCGCAATTTGGCCACCCTCGCTTGGCCAACCGGTCGGCAGTCCAAATTCTGTCCTGAATCGCAAGCCAAGCAAAAAACTTCACTTTCGGTGGCGCCCAGGCCTTCCAAACCATTTGGTCCATGGGGAAAGAACCAGGCCCAAAATGTTTTGGTTCTATGCATTGGATTGTCATATTTTGTCACATAGGAGTATTTTTTTGTCAAGCTTGTCTAATATTAGTTTAATGAAGAGTCATAAGTTGACAAGCCTAAGAGATTTTTGCCACACATTTTGTGTCCAAACGCCACGAATTTTTGCACGCACATAGCTTGGATGTAAATATAAAAAAAAAACAGAATGTTGTTGACGTTTTTCTATTTTTAAGAATTTTACTGTTCATGGGTAGGAGCATCTGACCACCCTTTCCCCTTGGTACTGGCTTGTTTGAGATGCACTAATTATGATCACAAGATTCAAGGTTGCATAAAGTTTACAAGGCCTATATTAAATTATCGATGATACTAGTGATGCAAGTGAAGTTAATTTAGTCGGCAACAAAGTTCTGCTATTTTTTTGAGCCACAATATCGACAGAAATCATATTCTCGGCTGTAGTTGAAAATTTCACCAGACTATAATGTAAGTGCATCTCAGCGCTAAAGCTACAGAGAAGTGGATGCCCAAATCATTCTACCAAAGATATGCCAAGAGCGACCAGCATTCCCATTGTCAGGAAAATCAACTGACACATCGAGTTGCTTAGCGTAGTTTTCTGATCGTGCATCTGTGGGAGAACTCCGGCAACAGCAATGTAAATAAAACCACCAGCAGTAAATCCCTGTAGAAGTATGAATACCAGGTACCGAATCAGCTATAATAGCACACAAAGTAAACATTACTTATATTAACTACTCCATCCGATCCAAAATAAGTGTTGCAGTTTTGAACTAAGGTTGAACTGCGACACTTATTATGGATCAGAGGGAGTAATGATGTAATATGGATGGAAGCTAATTTGGTTGTGTGTGGAACTTGGGCGTCCCAAAAGAAGGAAGATTATATCCTATCAAGATCTATGAACGAGGCATTAGATGGTTTGCGTTGTGTAGAAAGTAGAAACAGCTTTAATAGAAAACCTAGCATGGTGACCCGCACATTAGCACAGCTAAATTTCCTATCGCGGCATCTTTTTAAAAAATCTCCATACTCCAGAACAAATTTTGGCCATTATGTTTCATATGAACATGCTTGCAAAAAGTTACACATGATAGTATCAGAAATCCATGACAAATAAAATGATAGCGTCCCCTGTACATGATCCTCAAACATTCTCTCCTCGCCACGCTTATTGTAGATTGTTTTCTCTAATGATGCCCTGTACATCAGTTCTCTTACGGGTTCTCAAAGGTTTGTATTGGGTTTCATCTCTAGCCTACCCCAACTTGCTTGGGACAGAAAGCTTTGTTGTTCTGGGCATGGCCTCTCCTATGGGTTGCTAGAAAGTTATAACTATTAGTTTGTATTCATTATTAATTTATGTAACATTCTGTATTCCTATTTCACTGACACATGTCAACAGTTACTTGTACTCCTTACTAGCCAACTCCAACAACTTGTATTACATACTTTGACATAATTTATTTCCTCCAACCTTGGATGTTGCATGGGAGCAATATATAGGTTCATTCGTATGATATGCCGCTTGCACATGCATCGCATTCATCTTCCCAACTAAGCTTGGTGTGCCTTCTTAACACAATCAAGACAGAAGCCAGGCAATGGGCAATGGCTGGTGCAAGGGGCCTCGCGGCGTTGCTTCCGACAATGTCGGTGTCAAGCGTGTAGAGGCGTCATGTTCTAATCACCGCCGAGTGTTGCCCTTAGGGCTTGTACAAGCTTTTCTTTCTACAATGCATTGAAAAGCAAGGCTTTTGCATTTTCTCAAGTAAAAAAAATCCGATTATTTGTAGGTCTACACCTGGTTGTATGGCGCTGAGTGTTGGCCGACTAAAAGGCGACATGTTCAACAGTTAGGTGTGACAGAGATGCACATGTTGAGATGGATGTGTGGCCACACAAGGAAGGACCTAGTCCGGAATGATGATATACGAGATAGAGTTGGGGTAGCGCCAATTGAAGAGAAGCTTGTCCAACATCGTCTGAGATGGTTTGGGCATATTCAGTGCAGGCCTCCAGAAGCGCCAGTGCATAGCGGATGGCTAAAGCGTGCCGGTTGCTACACCTAGTTGTACACGCACATACTACTTGATTCTTACAAATTTGCGATTCCACC